AGGCGGCGGCCGCGCCGGCACGGAGCTGCGCCGCCCGGGGTTAAGTGTCCCGGCAGCAGCTGTCTCTCGGTTCGGTTTGCAGCTCGGAAGTTATAAACACAACTTGATTTTTTTTTTCTTTCTTTTTCTTTCTTTCTTTTTTTTTTTTTTTTAAACTGTGCAGACACACTGCGAATAACCAGATCGCACACGGGTTTGGTAGGGTCGACCTTATTCTTACCTAAGCAGGTACACGGAGTCATATTTGCAGTTATACGCAGCCTAGTCCCCTGGGCATTTGGGAGAGTGCAGACATGGTTCTAGCAAAAACTAAGTAAATGCTCATTTTAGGATCAGAAAGTTCTTGAAATCCAGGTTTTCAAAAGTTGTGTCCCCGAGCTTGGACAGATTGTACGCCAGTGGATCCATAAAAATCCAAACTTGTCCATGTGAGTGTGGAAATAAATCAAGAATTGTGCTCGTTCATCAGAACGAGGAGCTGTATTTCTTAAAGTTTGGATCGACAGTGGAAAGGTACATTTTTGGAGTGTAGCTGGAGAAGGTTTGAGCTGCATCGTCCTTCCATTTTTGAAGTAGAAGTAAACTGGAGTCTCATATTTTTACTTTCCTCGTATTTTACTTCTCTGTATTACCAGAGAAAATTATCCTGGTGCTTAACTCTGGATCCTTAGATATAGGCTGGGATTGAAGTTAGTTCATTGCTGCATTAAACTCTGGCCCTAGAGCGTTACACACCAAAATCCTGATAAACTTCCATGTCCGACTGCTTAGTTCCCAACTCTAAACAAGCCCTTTCCTCCTCGTGGTAAACACACATAAAGAAATAGTTAATCTTAAAAAAAAAAAACCACCCTTTTAAATATCAAGAAGCCCTGTAACTCTGCCAGTGACCTCTCAGTTAAGAGGCCTGATGGACTTTTAAAACCTTGGTTGTGCTCATGCTAATGTCAGTGGGCCAGATGCCTGCTTCAGCAGAAATTCTCCTTTCAGATTCATAGCCATAAAAGCATTTTTCGGTGCAAGAAGGTGCAGGCAGAGATGATTTGAAAAGGCCTTAATTTTGAAGTGTTGAGCACTTGGGCCAGGAATGAAGAAAGGGAACTGAAGAAGTGTTCTGAACTGTCTGAGGACTCAAGTGTTCCCTGTTCAGTGCACGAGTGAGCCTCTTAGATGGGCCTCTTGACGACCATCACAGAACGTGAGGCAGCAGGGTTTCATAGCATCAGAAACTATTTTCTGCTTGGGTTTAGCTAATTCTCTCAGAGCTGTGGCTAGATGCCTCTCTTGAATTCTGCAAGTACTTTATCAGCTCAGGGGTGGTCAGGGAATCCCCCCGGGAAGGGGAAAGTAGGGGGATCTGCTTCCTAAATTGTACCCCTTTTGCTTTAATCTGGTGATCGCTCCCAGTAGCATAAAGGTGTTATATAGAGACCAGAGTCTTCAGTTTCACCCATCCAAAATGAGTATCCAGTTCTCTGTCGTTTACTGTTCTTCTGTCACCTTGCCTGCACTATCATCTCTTAACAGAGTTTGATGCAGTCTGAGCTATGCCTAGTAAATTCAGCTTTTTTAAGAGCATCTGTGCCAGGATAGTGGTTGTTTGATTCCCGGATGACCCTAGGTGTGATGCCTAGAAGGTAGGCATTTGAAAATTCAGCTCAGGATATAAGAAATCTACTGACTAGCTCAGCCAAGGTGCAGTCCTCCTGAGAAGGTGCCCTCTAACATTGCTCTCGGTGCTCAGGGAAAGCTTTATCAGAAAGTGGCTTTATCACAGGATGTCAAAGGGGCTTTCTCACAGGGGATTTTCCTGTCTCTCTCTTTTGGCCATAAGCTCTTATTTTCTGTCCAAAATGCCATTTAGAGGCCTATATATTTTGTTGAACGCCTGCCTTGGATTTTAACAACCAGGCCACTTAGAAGTGTCTTTGATGGCGCCTTGGGAGTCAATACGCATCTCTGACAACTTAAAGGCATTAGAAGCTTTCCTACAAAAGTTCTGAAAATCTTAGATTCTCCCTGTATCTTCAAGCTGAAGTATGGTTTCTGCAAGGTCTAGCTGTCAGAACAGCAGCTTCTAGTTTAATTATCAGAAATTCTCTTGGTAATCACAGTTGACACCTGCTACAGTTTTTTTTGGCTTCATGATTAGTCATGAGAAAGTATTTAATTGTATTACTCTATCATTTTCCTTTTCAAGGAAATGAATGGGCCTAAGGATGTATTTGTCATTAACAACTAGGCTAGATGTCTTGATTCAGTTGACAGCTCTGGCACTGACTCATTTTTTTATATGATATGATCTAGGGTGAGTTGCTTGGCCTCTCTGGGCCTTGATTCCTCTTCTGTAGAGTTGCTATAAAATGCATCTTTTCCAGCTTTTGTCTAGTCAGAGCGTTATTCAAGTGAAATGGAAGCTGAGAGAAGGCATCTGATTGCTTTCTATAAACTCATTAGAAGGGTAAATACCAGGGAGGGAAAAGAGCTACTTAAGCTGAAGAAGGAGTTTTGGCAGAAAAACAAATGCCTATAAATAGAAGATGAATAAATTTAAGATGGAAATCCGAAGAAAGTTTCTCGTCATCAGATCAGTCAAGTTCTAGAACAGCTTTCCAGGATGAGTCAGGGGAGAGAACAGCTTGGTGTAAAAGGTGCACTTCTAACCCTTCTAAAATGAATAGGTATTGCACAAGCCAAAGCTACCTACTCTGTTGCTGTTGCTGCAGGCTGGGCTCTTTCTGTCTGTCCTGCTGCTGCTTTTGTGCTACTGTGGCAGAAGTACTGCAACAGTAATAATGTCAGAGACAGCAGTAGTAGAGATCAGGTGTGCCATCTGTTAGAGTCTCTTATGGACTGGCAAATACTATAGCTGCTTTCAGCATGGGCATTGACCAGTTAATGGATGAGGTTATTCAGCCCGGTTGATTGTTCCAACAAAGGACTGGTCTTCACAATGCCAAAGGTTCCCTTCCTGTCTAATGTTTCCCAAAAATGGCTGCCTTTTAGCTTCTGAGACAGTGAAATCTGAGCAGAAAGAAGATGGCTGGGATCACTAGTAGTTTTCCCAGGCTGATGACTGAGTTTAGCATTCTTTCTAAAGGTTGGCAGGTATCGAACATCACTTCTGGATGTTAAAGATTGAAGTATTTTAATCTCCATGCGTGTTCCTGCTCCTTTTCTCATATTCTAGGTTGTCAGATGGATGCCAGAGACAAGCAACTTCTACGCTCCCTGCGTCTGGAGCTCTGCACAGAGGTGCTCGTGGATGGACTTGTTATTCAGTACCTCTACCAAGAGGGGATTCTCACAGACAGTCATGTTCAAGAAATAAAATCCCAAACCACCAGTCAAAGGAAAACCATGATGCTCCTTGATATTCTTCCTACTAGAGGACCCAAAGCATTTGATGTATTCTTGGATTCCTTGCAGGAGTTTCCATGGGTTAAAGACAAGTTGAAAGCTAAGCGTAAGGAAATGACAGTAGAAGATCCTGCAGGTAAGGCCTGAATTGCTATTGCTGATGTTTTGAAGCTTGTTCTCAGCTGTAATTTTGAATGTATTGAATGTACCAGTAATTTCAAGTTATGCATCATAACTTGATATGGAGCATGAAACCAGCATAGGGCACAGCCTGAATTTCCTGGAAGCCAGCCAAACGCCAGGAAGCATTGCAAAGTTTGGGGAGTGAGCAAGGCTGACTTGGATACTGGGAGGCAGCAGCTTCCATAAGGAAAGGCTGTATTTGGAGGGTCTGAGATGTAGGACCCAGGGTCCCTTACCACAAAACGGGCAGACTGTAAAGAGTAGTTTCAACTAGCTGAAGAGCAATCTCTTCATAATCCATACCTGATTAATCTGTTTTATGTATGTTTTACAGTGTTTCACTTCTACAGTGTTGATATTGGCAGGATTTTTATTTACTTGATTTAATTATGATTTTAATGTGGTTTTAATTTGGTGGCATATATTAATTTAGAATTATGTAGTTTATTGTGTTTATTGGAGTGCACATGTCTAGGATCAGTACCTCCAAAATTACTAGCCATTGCTTAGTTTTAAAAAGAGCACAGCAGCTAACAGATTTAGTGGATATTATATAATCTTATTGAGTCAGATCTCTTGTTTTTTGACATTTAGATGTATTTCTAGAACAGTTTTTTGAGCCTGATGTTTCCTCTGAAGTGATTTTTTTAATGAATACCCATATGCAATTGTTGAGCTGTTCTGAAGTACGGGGGAAAATGCTTAAAATATACTTTTCCTGTCCTAGAAAAGATTTTTTGAAACATGTCTGAGCTGTTATCCTAATGTTACCAGTTTAATAGTGAAGTAGTTCTTACTCGGGAACGTTGTTTCTGAGCAATCTGATTAACTTCTCTTCTTTCCCCCTCAAACCCCACCTGATCTGGATTTGGTCCTATTATGATGCACATGATGTGATTTTTCCAGTGTCAGTCTGTTTTGCATGAGACTCTTAAGCTTGTGAAGATGTGTTTCTAAGAACTGTTGAACATCATGCGTGCCAGCGTCTGAGTTAGCTGCACGCCCAAGAATGTTTTGTGAAGATCTGCTGGACAAATATGACATTATCTTACCTTAGGACATTTTTAATGGAATATTATGACAGCTTTTCCTTCTGTTGGACCTGTGTGGAGATTGCTTTATGCTTGCTCCCCAGCTGCAGAACCGAGTGAAAAACTTTCAGAACTTTTTGGAGAATAAATATCACATGCCTCCCATAGGTGAAAACACTGTGAGTTCTCAGCACAATGCAATCTTGTGGTATTGAAGTGTTGAAAAAGACCTTGTTGATATGACAAATCCTGCCATACTAATGTTCTGTATTTGCCTTACAAATCAATGTGTTTGCTAATTGCTGGTAAAGCTTTTGAATAATGTCTGCACTTCCACACACGCACACACGCGCACACACACACACACACACACAGCCGCCAAATACACTCAAGATCACATATTTTGTTACTAGAAAAATAGTTTCAGACGTTTGTTCTTTTGATTCTTTTGTGGATTATTTCTTCGTGTACTTGATAGTTTGTGACTAACATGCTGTATTTATGCATATCAAGTTCTTTAGTTTCGTGTGGGTTGACTGTACTGATAATCCTATTGCCAAATCTTGCGTGTAAGCTAGAAAAGACTTCCAGATTAGATCAAAGGTTGCCATTATTTTTACTGTGGCAATACAAAATGTAAAAACAGAGTAAGAGGCAAATAACCAATAGTCAATATTTGTGCGCGTTCTTTGGGAGCACCACCTGTGCCTTAATAAATGATGAGCGCATCCTGAAATTAACTGAAAATGTTGGTGGCATTGTCAGTGTTTTTTGCATGCAAAAAATGTAGATTGAGGTAAAAAAAAGCCTCACTTTGCATTCTGAACAACCAACTTGCAAGCTTTTGTCTCAATAGAGTGCTTGAGCATGTGCTTGACCTTAGGCACAGAAAAAGCCATTGGCTCTAATAAAACTATAAGCATAGTTAAAATTAAGTACATTCTTTACTGCCGTGCTAGATAACTTAACTTCTGCCTTATTGGAAGCAGTTCTTATAAATGATAATTTGCCACTGGCAATTGGTTTAAAATAATCCATTTGTAATGAAAAGAGCCTACTATATACACATTACCTTTTTTAAAAACCATACTACTTTACAAATCAAAATGTATTTTATGACCTCAGGTTTTTACATCTATATACCTCTGAATCATGCATACTTATGGAAATAGCCTGCCTGCTGTTCGCTTGTTTGTGCTCAGTTAAAATTCTGTTTACTCAAGCAAAATATCCTCAGTTTTTGCAGATCTTTTGCAGGATGAAGGACTGGTAGCAAGTTGTTCCTTGAAGGAAGGCTTTAGTTTATAGTCTCTTTCACTTCTTATAGTCTACGCATAGGATTTTTAAATTCAGTATTAGCTTTTCCCTGTCTGAGCATGAAAATTGTGGCACCTGCACAGTGATTTTCTGTGTAGGCCTTTGGATTATTGTGCACCTTGTTCAACCAGATCAGGCTTTCTATCTTTGGTTCAGCTGAGAAATGTAGTTTCTTGATTCCCAGTCAAACAAAATCACAACTGTAATTGTTAAGAAGCTTTTAATTTTTCTTCCTCTAGTTAAAAAGCAAAAACCAAACACAGAAATTTTAGCAAGACAGAAATAAAAACACTTTTAGTGATGTTTTCTAAGAGCCCTGTAATTATGATCTGGTGGACTGAGCAGCTATGGAATGAAAGACAGCCTCAGACCTAAACAAGACACTGCCCACTGACTCATTGTGAGACTTTGGGCAAATTGTTCCAAGCCGAAGGATTTATCAGTTCACATCTTATGCAACTCAGTTCACGGAGCAGCGTAGAGCGTGTCTGTAAATCAGCCTAGAATTGAACCCAGAATATGCTGTTTGCAAATAAATGAACTTTAAAAATCGTGATATCCTGAGTTTTATTGCTGAACGTCAGTTTGACTTTAAAAATTACAGTTCTGTGTACTGTTATCTGCTGTTGTTACAAGGAGCGCAGAAGGCCCTAATCCTGCAGAGCATGAGGAATAGAGTTCTCACTGGAATGAGCAGAGTGACTTGCAGGCAAGTAGGGCTACTTATATCTGTATAAATTCACCAAAGAGACCCATGATCCCTTCCCCTTGTTTGTTTACTACATACATGTGACAGCCTATTGATTAGCATCAGTTTTTTCCTCTCTGTTGTGTGGTTCTGTCAGATGGTCACAACTTCAGAAAACCTTTTCTTAAGGTTGGAAAAACAGGATTACAAAACCAGAAATTGTCAGGACGGAAGTTCAGAGTCATGTGCTTTGGAGGTAATTGTTTATGACTTCTAAAGTTGTTCAATTTCAAGATGATCGGGTGCATTTTTTGCTTAAGGATCTAGAATAAAACAGTTCAGCCTGTGCACAGGGGTATCACAAGACTTATAAATCATTCTGTACATCAACCACAGTGCGAGTTTCTGCTTTTGAAGATAAAAACTTCTGCTGTGGTGAGAGAGAGAAAAAAAAAACTGCATGTCTATTCCATTAGGAAAAGACTGTTCTGTTTTTTCTGCCCTGGTTCAGCTGACTTTATGCCTTTGTCAGGAGAATGAATCTTCAATATAGTATTATAATTCCTATGAAAGACTACAGCTGTTGGCAACAAAATTCCATTCTTTCTAGGAATAGCAAACAGTTACTCAATGTTTTTTACACTGAGCAAAAAAATGTAAGCTTCGAAGGCATTTGTTTATCACAATGGTTTTCCGATCTCTCTCTGCTCAGGAATTTTTTTGCCCCAGTATTATATTTCTACGTATACTATATGTTACTATAAAGTTATGTATTTCTAAAAGTGTTAGTACTGCACGTCTTTGTAGTATACATTATTTCTTCACAGGAAATCACAACATGCTGACAAAGAGAAAAGTCTGAGAAACGCCGTTTGCCAGTGGAGTTCTGAAGCAGCAGTTGCTGTCCTGGCAAGCGTTAGTGAATTTTGGGCAGGATCATCTTGAGAAGGCTGTTTTCTCACAACTAAGCAAGGATTATTCTCTAATACGTGATCTCTTTGTTGTGGCACCTGGTCAGGGGTCCTGTATTAGGGTCCTGTAGACATAGGTAGTTTTTTTTTTTTTCCTGTTTTGGTGTGATTGGGTTTTTTCCATGGGCATGTGAGGAATGTGTGTTCTTGTCTACCTGTATGAAGCTTCATGTTGTGTAACGTTTTGGATGAAGCACGCAAATACAAAACAAAGCAAAACATGTGCTTTTGCTGAGAAAGCATTCCTTCCTCCCCGCTCCCTCCTCCTCTCTCTCCTCTCCCTCCCCCCCCCCCCCCCCCCCCCCCTCCCCCTTCCACAGCTGGGTTGTAGGTTTCTAAGAATTCTGATTCAAATGCAACAGCATTAGGGCATGGGGAAAGTTAGCATCTCTTCTTACCTTTTGTTGGCTGCTTCCTGCCCTCTTCCTATCCTGCTTCCTGTGACCCCTAATGTAGGTGAGGAAACAGCCTGGTCTCCTTCCTTTTCCATTTAGATGTCAGATAGGAGAGCAGCTGATGAATTCTTTTTCTTTCTCTAAAATGGTGGACAGAAGAGGGTGTTTTTTTCCTCTTTCTCCTCTTTCGCTCCCCTCTCTTGTATGGTCCAGTGACAGAAGGGGGAGTTTCTTCCCATATTTGTCTGAAGGAAAGGGATAGGCTTAGCAGCCTTGGCCGCACTGAACTGACCTGGAGATGAAGTAATGCCCTCGTGCCATATCCCAGTGCCTGAAGGCTATAGAAAATGCTCTCCAGTTCTCTTGAGAGATTCAAATGTATCCTTGCAGGAGAATTTCCCAAACTCTTTTCCACATTCCCAGCTCCCTTGAAAATCAAGTGTTACATTTATGGCTTTGGCTTTGCTCCTGACCACAGTGAGATCTGTGAAGTCTGGCATTGAAGGTCTGTGCACACACTCAATAAACAGCATGCATCATGATATGGACAA